GTTGGAAGGTCGGAAGGTTGGAGGGCTGGAGGGCTGGAGGGCTGGAAGGTTGGAGGGTTGGAAGGTTGGAGGATTGGAGGGTTGGAGGGTTGGAGGGTTGGAGGGTTGGAGGGTTGGAGGGTTGGAAGGTTGGAGGGTTGAAGGGTTGGAAGGTTGGAGATTTGGAAGGTTGGAGGGTTGGAGGGTTGGAAGGTTGGAGGGTTGGAAGGTTGGAGGGTTGGAGGGCTGGAGGGTTCGAGGGTTGGAAGGTTGGAGGGTTGGAGGGCTGGAAGGATTGGAGGGCTGGAGGGTTTGAGTGGCGGGAAGGTTGGAAGTTTGGAAGGTTGGAGGGCAAGAAGGTTGGAAGGCCCACTGTCTCAGAGCCTGGCACCAACTTTTAAACATCCGGTTTTTAAACAGATGTTTTATACTACCTCTGCGGGCAACAGCCTTTGGCCGCCCTCCATATATTTAAAAGTAGGCACCGTACATTCGGGCAATTCCATATTCTATCTACTTAAGGGGCATTGTATGGCTTGGGGCGGGTCTATTTTCTTCAAGCCCCCTTCCTCCAGCATCTAGAAACCAAAAAACATAATCTAGAGATCCTGAAGACTTCCAACCTCCTCCCAACACCCTACAACCTAAACCCCTGCCTAAACCCCAAAACTATGTAGAACAATTGCTTGTTTATGTGTTTGAAGCCATTATTTTACCTACTTTTGGGGGTTCATGTAAACCCTAAACCCTAAACCCTGAACGCCTTTTTATACACGCGCTCTGCGTCACACCTCTCCATAAATGCCCGGGGGCCAAAGCTTCTAAAACCAAAACCTTACTGGGGGTCGGTAAGGAAGAAGGTAAGGGAATATATTTGTTGGGATTATATGGGGATTATACTCCCTTCTTCCCTACTAGTCACCAGTAAGAACAGGCCTCAGAACGAGCTACCTGGGTCACGCGGCTGACAAGGGCAGCTGGGGTAATTGGTCCCTTCGAGCTTCTTGGGTTAGTAGGGAATATGGGAATACAGTGTATTGGGATTATGTAGGGGCTGTAGGTGTGTTATTGCATACGTAAGTGCTTTTAGACTTAGGATTCGGGGCTTAGGGTAAAACCTGGGTCTGAGCCACTATGCAACAAAGCCACACGCCAAGAAGGAGCTACAAGTTGTGCCATTTGTATGACCTGAGACTACACATGTTTGTGTACTTCGGCCCCCTTAACCCGAAGGAAAGTGTTGGATTAGCAGGGCTTCTTGGGGCTTAGGCTTGTTGGTTCGAGCTCTATGGACTGTTGCGGCGATGAAGACATGAGTTTCATGGAGCGCTGAGCGCTCATACGGAATGTATTTGTAGTTTCCCTGAATGGGGGGACCCCGATATAGTAGACCGCAATTGCTATAATCCTTTTTTATAAGGACCCCAAAGAGTTACGACTAATTTGGGAAGACCCCCATTTGGAGCTATGGCAGGCTCTGTCTTTAGAACATTTTGTTGAAGAAGGGGAGCCTTAGCGTTGAGGCGTGAAGAGAACTACCGTCCTCGTGTACATGCTATACGTAACCTGAAATTGAGGCCAGAAACCCGAAGGGTCCAGGTACCTTACTACCAGTCTATTCAATCTGAAGTGCTTATGTGGGAACACTTTTGGGCCGGAACTATATTTTATACAGGCACGTGGACACTTGCAGAAAACAGTGTTCTTCCATAGCAGTCATGCTGCAGCTAGACAAACGGCGCGGCACGCCTGGAACCGATCGTGAGGCAGGAAGGACATCCTTGCCCGTCCGCCAGTGCCCGAAATCGAAGCTGGCTGAAACCTCACTGTTCTTCCACGTGCACTTAAGACTCTTTAAGGATGAAAAGCTGTCAACTCATTTGTTGGAACATGTTACATAAACTTTGCTTGTTCAGGTGAACTTGCTGATTCGACAGATCTTGCATGCGGAGCATGTGAGCTATAGTCTAAACTCCTAGTATCTCCCATACTGCGCCCAAGAATATCCCCATATAACCCCTTTAAGAAGTTAAGACTTTAGCTCATGTAGGGATGTATGAATTTCAGCCGTGTTTGCATGCTTGTCGAAATTAGGGCCCCTCACCAAAACAAACAGCCAGTAGCATCCTTGCTATAAGGACCTCCACAGGTTGTCTAGCCCCTTAAGCCTACAAGCCCATGTATCCTACAAACCCTATGCACGCCATCAACCCCATTAGCCTTGTCAAGCCTGCAGATAAACCTTTTACCCAAACCCTCAACCCTTAAGCCTGAAACCCGAACCCGAAACCCTAACCGCTGAACCCTAAACCTTAAGCCCTGAACTCTAAACCCTAAACTTTAAACCCTGAACCCTAAACCCTGGATTCTAAACAATGAATCTTAAACCCTTAACCAGAAGCCCTGGACCCCAACAATGAGGCTCAGGAGGCTCACTTGGAAGCCTCGATGGCTTCCTCCGCATAGATCTGGCTGTGGCTAACCTCAGCTCCACTATTGCGCGGAGCCTACAGTTCCTCTTAAGATATGGGAGAATGGAAAAGAAGATGGAGCCTTCTACTTAGGGTTTAGGGTTTAGGATAGTCTCTGTTAAGTAGATAGAATATGGCTTTGGGTATATTACAATAAGGTCAGCCATATTCCACATATACTATCTACTCAAGGGGGACTATACGTTAGCTAGCTGAAATGACCGCACAAATTTGACACACAGCGAGTGCATATACAGCGTGCATATAGAGAGAGGATCATGGAAACAGAATTTCACAGGGGCTATACATGACATAGATGTTGCTTGAGGCATTTAAGTACTATGTAGGAACCCCCAATAATGGTACCCCTAATT